AAAGCTATTAAAAACACATTTATGCAATTTAGCTTATGGAGAGGAGGAGGATTAAGAACATCTATTTGCACTTTACCTAGCTGCTAGCATCCACCCTGTTAACCTGTTGTTTTTCATCTCTCCCTCAACAATTTTAGCCTAATTTTAGATTTGAAATTATATTTTAAGGATTTAATATGTTGGTAATTATGTGGGCTCATTTAACGTCTTGTTCATTTATGTTGGTTTATAATTTACTGAGTTGTTCTTGATTTGTTTATGGATTTGTTTATGTATTGCTGTTGTCACTGAATGTTTGCCATTGTATGTTTTGTTGTGAGCTGCCCTGAGTCCCTTCAAGGAAATAGAGTGGGCTAGAAATAAAGTTTTATTAATTCATTCATCCTGGGAGCAGTGATTTGGTGAGGCACCAGCACTCTTTGGTGGAAAAGGCTAAAGACCTTGTAGAACTACAATTCCGTTTTGAATCTCCTTATGGAGAGACAAAGAAGGGTATCAATAAACATAACAACAACAACTCTTTCCAACAAAAACCTGCAATAGGGTCAACATAAGTCAGAAATGATTTGGAAGCAAACAACAACCGCATGATTGATTTTAATCTCCACTGGTTTTAAATGATGCCATGTGTTTAATCGGCCATTATTCCTCCCTTCAATCCAGAGGGAGAGATAGCTAAGAATATTATTATTGTTGCTTTTAACTTTATTTCTACTTCCAAGGAACTCCATGGCAGTGTTTCTCAATCTGGGGGTCAAAACCCTGGGGGGAGGGGGGGGTTTGCAAGGGGTGTCAGAAGGGTCTCAAAAGACCATCAGAAAAAACAGTATTTTCTGTTGGTCATGGAGTTCTGTGTGGTAAGCTTGGCCCAATTCTATTGTTGGTGAGGTTCAGAATGCTTTTGATTGTAAGTGAACTGTACGTCCAACAACTACAACTCCCAAATGTCATGATCTCTTTTCCCCAAACTCCACCAGTGTTCATATTTGGGCATATCGAGTATCTGTGCCACGTTTGAGTCCACTGTGCTCTCTGCATGTAGGTGAACTGCAACTCCAAAACCCAAGGTCAATCCCCACCAAACACTTCCAATATGTTCTGTTGGTCATGGGAATTCTGTGTGCCAAGTTTGGTTCAATTTCATCATTGGTGGAGTTCAGAATGCTCTTTGATTGTAGGTGAACTATAAATTCCAGCAACTACAACTCTCAAACGACAAAGTCAATCCCCCCCTCCAACCTTACCAGTGTTCAAATTTGAGCATATTGGGTATTTGTACCAAATTTGGTCCAGTGAAAAAAAATACATTCTGCATATCAGATATTTACATTATGATTCATAACAGTAACAAAATTACTGTTATGAAGTAGCAACAAAAATAATTTTATGGTTGGGGTCACCACAACATGAGGAGCATTAAGGAGTCATGGCATTAGGAAGGTTGAGATATACTATTCTATGGGGTCATTCCCTTTGTACCTCACAACAAGCTGGCAAGGTAGACAAACAAGGCTATAGTGAGTGATTTGGGTTCTTATTGGAAGACATCACATCAAAACAAACAAACAAATCTTCATGAAATATTTAAACACGTTTCACCACTCCTGAAGAATCAGACAGCCAGTGGAACACATTAGACCAGGCAGTGGATCAGTGTCAAAAAGTATACTAGCACCAAGCTGGTTAGAAAACAAATCATTCTGGTTTTATTGTTCTTGTTTCTTTTTGGGCTCCAGAGGTTTTTTAAAAAAGGATGAAAGCACAAGGTTTTCCTTCTCCTCTGAGTTTTGCAGAATCCAAGGGGAAAGGAGAAACAGAATGCACAAAGGAAAGAAGGAAGAAGAAAAAAAAGAAAAGAAGAAAGAGCGAACAAAAGGAAAGAAAACCCCTCCAGCGCTGTGGAGAGATTTGGGGCTCCATTGTCATTTACATCTGCAGGTATTAAAATCTCAAAGTGTGTGGCTTCTGCCCTGATTACTAATTAATGAGGAGCAAATATGCCTGCTGGAAGGAAGGCGCTCTGATTCTTTCGGCCAGGTGGGAAAAGCAAAGTTCTTGCCATTGAAGAAAGCAGATTTTCTTTGACAGGCCTCTTAGCAAATTATATGAATCAAAGGGCCGTTCAGGACTCGATTAAAAACCAAACATGGCAATTGAGCCTCCCCTTGCAAATGCCTGCTTGGCACAAATCAAGGCCATTTAAGCTTCCTGCATGTCACAGAAATGCCTCTGAATCAATACAGCTGTCTCTGGGAAAAAGCAAGTGTTCCGATGTCTGTCCAATTGGAAAAAGCAACAAGGAGTGGAGTTATCCATCCACACAAAACAAAGCCACAAATTCATTCATTCATTCATAGTATTGCATACCCTCCTTGTCCAAATTGATTCTGTGTTGTCCTGATTTTTCACCTGTCTTTAAAATATCCCGGTTCCTTTCTCCTTCTCCTAATTTCACCCTATGCCCTATGGAGCCCTCGGTGGCACAGTGGGTTAAACCCCTGTGCCGGCAGGATTGAAGACCGACATGTCGCAGGTTCGAATCTGGAGAAAGGTGGATGAGCTCCCTCTAGCAACTCCAGCTCCTCATACGAGGACATGAGAGAAGCCTCCCACAAGTATGATAAAACATCAAATCATCCGGGTGTCCCCTGGGCAACATTCTTAAAAGGTAAAAGTAAAGGTAGTCCCCTGACATTAAGTCCAGTCATGTCTGACTCTGGGGTGTGGTGCTCATCTCCATTTCTAAGCCGAAGAGCCAGCGTTGTCCGTAGACACCTCCAAGGTCATGTGGCCGGCATGACTGCATGGAGCGCTGTTACCTTCCCGCCGGAGCGGTACCTATTGATCTACTCACATTTGCATGTTTTCAAACTGCTAGGTTGGCAGAAGCTAGGGCTGACAGCGGAAGCTCACGCCGCTCCCCGGAATCGAACCTGCGACCTTTCGATCAACAAGCTCAGCAGCTCAGTGCTTTAACCCACTGCGCCACGGGGGCCCCTACACTCAACGTCCTTGCAGACGGACAATTCTCTCACACCAGAAGCGACTTGCAGTTTCTCAAGTCGCTCCTGACATGACAAAAAAGAAATAAAAAAAAACAAAAAAACAAAACCCTATGCCCTCAACTTTCCTCAATTTCTGCATATTGAATTGTTATGAAAGGGGGATTTTGCACTCAACTCAGCAGTGGGGAGAGAACTGAGGCCCCATATACACAGCCAAATAATGCAGTTAGAAACTGCATTATATGGCCAGTATAGACCAGGCATGGGTAAACCAAGAAATAGGCCAAGTTTCATAGTCCTTGCTGTGTTCAGCCTGCTCCCATCTCTTTGATGATATCCCATAGATATCTGGGTAGTTCTCTCCTTCTCTTTTTTGGTGCAGACATAATGAGTGCAAGCCTGAGCTAATTTGCCAGCTAAGGCAGCAAAGTTTGGGTATTCTGAAGAACAAAAGAGAATTCTTGACAAGCAACTGGCATCTATCTATATAGTCAATGATCTCTAGATTTAGTTTCTTACTGGGAGAAAATGCCCCTACAAGGAGCCAATTTCTCCCCCACTCCAACATTAAGATGTTATGTACCACTCATTTGTGATAGCCAACATGGTGTAGTTGTTGAATGTTGAAATACAACTCTGGAGACCAGAGTTTGAATCCCTGTAAGCCATGAAAACCCATTAGTCAAAATAATGCAAAAGCAAAAACCCTCTGAACAAATCTTGCCCAGAAAACTCCATAATAGGAGGAACACAACTCAATGGCCCTTATTTAAAATGATTTTTTTAAAAAATGAAGCAACTGACAATTAAGGAAAGCTTTGCAAGAGATGAGCTGCTAAAGCCAAACTGCAGCAGCTTACAAATGCATTGCTGAGCTGTTAGCGGATCATCCACTAAGTGCTCAAAGAACAGAATAGAGGTCTGCACAAACACATAGAAAAGCACAACATGATTGTGTTTTGAGGGTATACATAAGTATTTTGATTTAAATATTCAATATATGTCTTATTAAAGAGAAAAGTTTCCCCTGACATTAAGTCTAGTTGTGTCTGACTCTGGAGGGTGGTGCTCATCTCCATTTCTAAATTGAAGAGCAGGCGTTGTCCGTAGACACCTCCAAAGTCACAAAGTCACATGACCAAAGTTACCTGACCAGCATGACTGCATGGAGCACTGGTACTTTCCTGCCAAGGCAGTATCTATTGAGCTACTCACATTTGCATGTTTTCAAACTGCTAGGCTGGCAGAAGCTGGGTCTAACAGCGGGAGCTCAAGTCGCTCACTGGATTCGAACTGCCGACCTTTCAGTCAGCAAGTTCAGCAGCTCAGAGGTTTAACCCACTGCACTATGACAAAGACCACATTCATGCTACTCAATTAAAAATTTATTTCTATTTTTATTGTCATGATAACATCTGGGGTGAGGTTTGGTGAGGCACTCGAGCACTTGCTAGTTGAGAATTTAAACATCCCTTTTGAAACTATGTATCCCAGGATTCCAAAGGCTCCTGCTATGGAAGTTAAAATACAATCATAGCAATATGACTGAGTAATGTGAAAGGGGTCCAGATTTTACCCTAGCTCTCTTGCAAGCCATCCAAGTTTCTTCCAGCTTCTATTCAAACAATGAAAAGTTATTAAATGAAGCACTTGAACCAGAAGTCTCTTTATCTGGTCACCTACTTTCTACTATGTTGTCAACATCCAGTACCATAGATTCATCCTTATCTCTAATGGAGCCCATGAATAAAATGCTACTGTGCCGGCACTACAGCTTTCCACATGTCCATGGTCTCTGAATCTATTCTCCTCCTATGTATAAGATAAATGAGAGTTCATCAAAGGTCAGTGTTTTTCCTAGACCTGCCACAGCAGCATGAATGAGTCCAACAAGAGTGGAAGAAGGCAAAAAAAATCACAAGTGGCATTTTGTTGTTTGCTTTCGAACATTAAAAGAGAGTGGTATTTAAAGTATGAAGCTGGTTTACCACCTACCGTTAGATTTTTCGCTATCTGCAGGTTTCATCTGAATGGGATGATGCATCTATAAACAACAAACAACAACAAGAAAAAAGGATAAAGCATGTTGGAATGATACAAGGCAAGTACAATTCATGGTTTTTATTTGCTTTGCTTATATTGTACCCTTATGGTGGAGTGACGTAGGAAACAGGTTCAATATTTAGTTGGGAAGGATTGTAATTCACTGACAAAATATTTTCTTTCTTTCTGAAACTAACCTTCATCTAAACCAGGTATGGGCAAACCCAGGCCTGGGGACTGGATGCGGCCACTTGGGCTCTTTTTATCTCTCACCATCCTGTTCTTCCTTCTCTTTTTCCTTCCCTTTTGTCCTCCCTTTCTCCCTCTATTTCCTTCCCTCCCTCCTTCCTTCCTTTCCCCCTCCCTCTCTCTCTCCTTCCCTCCCAACCTTTCGTCCATCCCTCCCTTTTGTTTTTCTTTCCTTCTCTTTCCTTCCCTCCCTCTCTCCCTTACCTCTCTCCCTTACCTCCCTCTCTTCCTTCCCTTCCCTCCCTCTGTCTCCTTCCATCCTTCCATTCAACCCTTTCATCCTCTTTCCTCTCTCTCTCCCTCTTTCTCCTTCTTTCCTTCCTTCTTTCCTTCCCTCTCACCCTTTCGTACTTCTCTCACTTTTGTTTTTCTTTCCTTTTCTCTTTCTTTCCTCCTTCCTTCCCTCCCTCTCTTTCTTTCCACCCTTTATTATTATTATTAAACTTTATTTGTACCCCGCTAGCATCTCCCGCAGGACTTGATGCAGCTTACAAAGGCCAAGGCCTCAACACAACAACAGCAAAACAATAACAGTACAATTTAAAGCAAATTAAAACATAAGCAATAAGAAAACAACACATCAATTATGCAATAAAAACCAGGGCCGGGCCAGTGATGGGCACAGGTTAAAAAAGTGCTGGGTGTGGCAGGTGGAATTTTGGATTTCCAGGCAAGTGGTATTTTGTAGGGCTGGGCGGTTTCGTTCGTTAATTTCGTAATTCGTTATTACTTCGTTATTTTTTTTGATAACGAAGCGATATTGAACCATTCAGAAGCAACTTAAAATCCAAACGATTTTTTAAAATTTATTTCGTAATTGTTTCGTAATTGTTTCGTAATTGTTTCAAAATTGTTTCATTATTATTTCGTTATTATTTCCGTATGTCTGGTGCAAGTTTTATAGTTGTTGTTTGTTTTATCAGTGATAAAAAAATAAATTATCACACCAACAGTCAACAACAGAGGGAGAGAGAAGCTTCAGAAGTTCCCCCCGTCCCATTTGGAGGGTTTTTTAGCGTATTGCGCAATCGCGTCCACCATTAACGAATCGATTTGTTATTGTTTCAAAATTGTTTCGTAATTTACGAAATTTCGTAAATATCAAACTTTTTTAAAGAAAAATTTCGGAATTCTTTTAAATAACGAAATGCAAAAACCGCCTAAAAACGAATCGAGTTTAGAAACAAAATTTTCCATGGTTGGACAGCCCTAGTATTTTGGATTTCCGGGCAAGTCATTCCCTTCAACCCTTTCATCCTTCCTTCCCTCTTTCCTCCCTCTCTCCCTTTCTCCTTCCTTCCTTGCCTTTTGCCTTTCTTTCTTTCTTTCTTTCTTTCTCTATTTTCTTTATCCTTCCCTTCCTTCCTTCAATCCTTCTTTTCATCCCTTCCTTCTCTTTTTCCATCCATCCTTCCTTACCTTCCACCTTTTCACCCTTCTTTCCTTTCCCTTTGTCTCTTCTTCTTTCCCTCTTTCCTCCCTCTTTCTCTCTTTCTCCTTCTATCTTGCCCTTCCTCCCTTTTGTCCTTTCCTTCCTTCCTTCCTTCCATCACCGGGCAGCCAGTCCTCCGAGCAGGGAGTTCTAGCATGCGGCCCCCAAGTTAGAAAGTTTGCCCATGCCTGATTTAAACCCTCTTAAAAACTTAAAATGGGGGGGGGGGGACAGGACTAAGGAAGAAATCTTTCCAAGTCTGTAAAGAGCTTTTGCTCACCAGTGTACATTTTATTTACTTGGGTGACCCATAGGTTAAATCAACATTAAACCTATATTATTGAACAAACCAGCATTCTAAAAACAACATCATTTCCTCAAACCAGCAGTTTTTCAGCTATCAAAAAAACCTTAACAGATTGGCCTTACAGCTACCATGCTTTTTGAAAACCCAAATTATCATGCCCACAGGACTCATCCGAACAAATCACTTTTCAATATTCTTCTTATTGTTATTACTACACACAGAGGGTCAATACTGGGTCTGTTTGCACAAGAAAATTGGCATATTAGGAATGCAGATGGGAAGCTGGACAGATTTCAGCATGTATCTAAACAGCTTTGTGATTCATTATTTCATCACCCTCCTGATGATCCACTGGCTACTTTGCAGATGTTTTTAAAGGAGTTCTGTTTGGGAAAGAAAGGAAATATAATATCATCCTAACTTGGAGCTTTGCCTTTGCTTTCCTCTGAGGCTGAGAGAGTATGAATTTCCTAAGGTCACCCAATGGGTTGGACCCCACCCAATGGGTTGGACTTCAAGGGTTAAACCCTTGAAGACAGACAGGTTGGAGGTTCGAATCCGGGGAAGTGCAGATGAGCTCCCTCTGTCAGTGCCAGCTCCCCATGCTAGGTCATAAGAGAACCCTCCCACAAGGATGGTAAAACATCAAAACATCCGGGTGTTCCCTAGGCAATGTCCTTGCAGATGGCTAATTCTCTCACACCAGAAGTGACTTGCAGTTTCTCAAGTTGGTCCTGAAACACACACACATACAAACCCCAAACCCAGAGGCGGCCCTAGGTAATTTTCAACGGTAAGCAAACAGTATTTTTCCCCCCCCCCCCCCAAACCAATCACTGATATATATTTTCTGTTCGTTGTGGGAGTTCTGTGTGCCATATTTGGTTCAATTCCATCATTGGTGGAGTTCAGAATGCTCTTTGATTGTAGGTGAACTATACATCCCAGTAACTACAACTCGCATATGTCAAGGTCTATTTTCCCCCAAGAGCACCTCAAGAGCACCCCTGGGCAAAATCAACTATACGCAACTTACTTGCGTAATGGGTTGAGCCGCCCCTGCCCAAACCCAATGGCCTCCCATGGCTGAGTGGTCTACCCTGGTCTCCAATCATACCCTAAAGCCAAAACTACCACACCTTGCTGTGTTAACTCTCTATATAAGTTGAAAATAGGCACAGGTGCAGATTCTGCCTGCAACATAATGTGCAAATGCTGCCTGAGCATGGAGTGGTACAACACGGAGAGACCCAAATGTACCACTGGCTGATGGAAGCTCTTTTGTGAATAAGGATTTTTAGAAATCTATGCTCTGCACAGTTGGCATGATTCCTAAATTTGCCCTCTATTTCTTTACATAAGAGGATTCACATTACAAGCTCCCTTAACCTTCTCAATCACCAATTGATAAGTTAACTGCCTTTAACATTGGATTCAATAAAACATGTGCCACTGAGAATCCAAAGTAGATTTCTTTTCTTTTTTTTACAGAGTCACTGGTTCACATCCCATTATTAAACCCACCACGGATGACCTCTGGAGACTGCAACCATGACAGTACATATTCTAAGTACGCTGCCAATAAAATATTTAAGAGCGCGAAACATGGGGACAGGCAGTGAAGAGAAAAAGAGGGTCAGAAGAATCGAAGAAAGGTGTGCAATGAATAAGAAAATTAACAGGGCAGAGTGCAGAGGGGGCGAGTCCTTGCTTTCCTTGCGCCGTGTGCTAAGCAATGGGGAAATAACCCAAGCGTTTTATATCTTCCCTGTTTTACTGTAGGCTATAAAATAATAAAATAGTCTACTCCCTTTCCCCTGATCCTCCAAAAGCGATTACAGATGATATAAAACTAGCTCTCAGATTAGATGCCACCAACCAGAAGCGTGTCACTGAGATATCGTGTCTTATCAAAAAAAGCAGTTATTGTAGTTCTACATCATAAAGCAATACACTTATGGTTTATCTCTCCAGGTAAGTGATTTTTCAATATGCGATACTGTCATGCTAAAAAAAATAAATACCCAGCCGAGGATGGGTTCTCCCCACCCAAGCACTGCTTTCCAATACTGTCTTGGAGAGGTAGACAACTCTGTGTTGCATTGCGCTGAATTGAACAGGAAAGGCCCATGAATGTCAGGGCAGGTTCTCTAGGGTATTCTTGGGATATGCTTGGATCTTCCTATTATAGAAGCAAGAGGTGATGGAAAATGTGGCTGAGTAAGTCAGCCAGAGAAGCCCAATCATGCTTTGATTGCTGTTGTTGTGTGCCTTGAAGTTGTTTCTGACTTGTATTAACCCAAGGCTTCTCACAGTGTTTTCTGGGGCTACAAGTGTGTGACTTGCCCAAGGTGGACTTCCATGGCTGAGTAAACACTGTTCTCCAGAGTCAAAGTACAATGCTGAAACCTCTCTACCATTACATCTTTGTAATGTAAAACACCCTCTATGTAGGGCTGCCATTGGAAACTCTTCAGAAACTTCAGAAAATGTTGTGGCCAGATTGCTGACTGGAGATCATCATGGGAACTCCTTTGTTAAAACAACTTTATCTGCTACTGGATTATTTCTGAGCTCAGTTGAAAGTGCTGGTTATGTCTCATATAACAAAATTAAAGACTGTCTGGGCAGGGTGGACAAACAATCAATCCCACCGCTGCCACCAGTATAATAGAGATTTAAAGATATCTAGGGCAGGGGGGAACAACGAATCCCACCTCTGCTCCTCAAGGCAAGAGAGAATAAGATATTATAAATGACCGATGTTCTTGGTAGTATTAGCCACCACCACCTCAGAATTATTGGCCTGAGGGACCAAAGGTGTGAATGTGTTGTAGGTAAGGAGTGTTTGAGCTCTTAATTCTTCTATTGTTTCTTCACTGGATGACTGGACTTTAAAATGGGTTTGACAGACTTGATTCTGAGGAGATTGATAGACTGAGGCATACACCAGTTAAGTGAACTAGAAAGAGTTTATTGAACTTGGAACAAATATCACCTCATAGCATGAGGG